AAGAGGGTCTCCACCCCCACCCCGTCGTGCCCCCTCCAGGAACAGCCCCTCACCGTGAGGGCGTGCAGATCCGCGCTGATCGCCTCGTCGATCTCCCTGCAAATTACAGACCGGAAGTGGGGGAGGGGCTGCTTCCCCCGGCCTGGGGCTCGGGGCCGGCGGGGTCTCAGCGGAGGGGTCGGGTGGGGTCAGGACAGGATTCTGGGGCTCTGGGCTGGGGCTGAGGCTGGGGATTCCGGAGGCGAGTCAGGGGGCCTCGAGCTCACACGGCGGTGTGGCGGCGCTCAGAGAAGATGCGCAGCGTGAAGTCGGCCTCGTCGCCCGCGCGGGCAGCGCTGGGCACCACCAGGTAGTGGCCGGGGCGCAGGCGGCAGCGGCGGCTCCGCGGCGGGCGCAGAAGGGCGAGCGGTCGGCGCGCAACAGGCCCGGCAGGAGCGCACGACTGTGCGGGGTGTCCCAGCCCCTCAGCAGCTGGGGGGAAAGGGGCGGGGGCGGCGTGACCATAGCCACCCAAGGCCACCCCACCCGGCCGCCCTTCCACCGCACCCCTGCAGACCGCCCGGTGCTGGCCCACGCGTCCACCCGGCAGCCCAGCGCAAGCCAGGCCCTCCCTGCCCCAGTGCAGCTTGTCGGCGCCCCAGGGACTGGTTCAGGGGTGGATGGAGCCTGGAATCTGGGGTCCCACGTGAGACCCACCTCCTCTGGGATCTGTAAGAAGGACGAGCAATGGAAGTCAGGGCCAGGAGGGAGGCGGCCGCCCCTTAGCGTCCCCTCCTTGCCCTCTGCCTCTCTTTTCTTCCCGTTCTATCCCCGTTAAGTCCCTGGCCCTCAGTCCCTGTCTCAGCCGTCCTCTGACCCCTCCTGGTGCACTTCCTCCCACCTGTGCCTCTGTGCATCTCCTCTTCTCCCCTGACCCCCTTCTCAGTCCTCCCTAGCCCCTCAGTCTCTTCTTGACCCCCGCTTCTGATTCCCTCGGCTGCTGAGCCAGGGGCCCCACCTGGAACACGTGGAAACCCACAGTGAGGTACGTGAGGCCCTGAGCCCTCAGGCAACGCCGGTTGCGCTGGATGAGTGACAAGAGGACAGTGCACTTGGGAACTCGTCCCCCTCGAGCTGGGCCGTTCGCCCCTGCAGCCCCCCAGCCTCCCCAGGGCCCCTCCTCATTGTCCTCTTCATCGTCAGGCTCCAGCAGGGTCAACCGGAACTGGGGGTTGGTCCAGAAGGTTTCTAGTAGAAGAAAAAGAAATGGGGTTACCCCTCCTGCCACAGCTCCCCCCAACCCCCGCTTGCCTCTCGGGGCCCCTCCAGGCCTCACCGGCAGCAGGCTGGCTCCCACCAGAGTTGAAGCCTCGCACCCAGCGGCCTTGGAAGGTGTGGATGTGCCAGCCGCCTCCAGCAGGGTGGGGGCCCAGGACCTCAGGGCTCAACGAGCAGATCTGGACTGTGTTGAAGTGGCAGAGGAAGTCCCGCAGCTCCATCCTGGACAGTGGCCAGCGGTCAGACCTTGCCCGGCCCCCACCGCCACAGGGGCTCGGCCTCCCAAATATCTCAAGTCCCCAGTGTGACCCCCAAGTGTCAAAGCCTCCCAAATTCCTCAAGTATTGCCAAGTACCCTGCAGTTCACCAAACGGTACCATGTTTCCTGAATCTCAGCCCTCCGGCCCCCTCGGACTTCTCCAAGTGAGATGCCTCATAAATAGCCAAGACCCACAAATTCCCCTCAAATGTCGTCAAATTGTCTTCAGCCCCCGATGATCAAGACCCTTAGAATCTCAATGACAAACAAGTATCCTTTAGTCCCTCGATATTGCCAAGTCTCAAGAAATGCCCCAGGTGTCACCAAGCTCCCTCAATTGCGCTAAATATTACCCATCCGCCTTCAACTCCCAAGAGGTTACTAATATTCAAATTCAAACCTCAATTCCCCTAATATTACTACTAATTCCCCCTCTACTCCCCAGATAGAACCCTGCTCCCAAATTAGCATGGATATAGGCAGATTCTCCCCATTAGGACCCATCCCCGTGAACTTTCGCCACATCCCTTCACGCAGGGCTGGCCTGCTCCCCGAGCCCCGCTGGCTGCGACTCTGCCCTGCTCACCAGAACTCGCCATCCTCCTTCTTCACCAGCAGGGCATCTCGCCACTCTGCGGGGAGTGCGTCCCAGCGTGGGCAGCTGGGGAGACCAGGGTGTGAGGGGCCGGCAGGTGGGGCTGAGCTCCCACCACCGCCCCGGTGCATCCCACCTGTCACTCCAGGCCCCGGTCCACTCCACGCGGCCCCACGGGTTCCGCAGCCGCAGCAGCCGCACTTTGGTGAATCCCAGTGACACCTGAGGGCAGCATCATCAGTGGGGATGGCACCTGGACACCCCATGCCAGCCCATCCATAGGGGATGCTCACCTTGTGTGTGCCTGTGACTGAATATGCATGTCCCTTCACCAGCCCATCTTCTGTACGGTACTCGCCCCGATCACTCTGGGCGGAGGACAGGGGACGGTGAGGCCACAGTGGGGGACAGGAGGGTGGTTGTTCCTCTCTGCCCCCCGACCTCCTGCCACCAAAGCAGGTATCAACCAGAGCACCCAACTGAATGTCACAGTGCTCTGAGGGTGGGTAGGAGTTGGTGAGGGTGAGGGAGGGAGACAGAGACAAGAGACAAAAATAGACGGAAAGAGGAGAGACAGAGATGCAGAGACGGAGAAAGCTACAGAACAGATGGAGGGAGATGGAAGAGGCAGAGAAACAAAAGACAAAGCGAGTCAGTAACAGTGTAGGATCCGGTAAACGAATGAGTGAACGGGTTACATCGACTCAGTGCGTGAATATGTAATTGGGTCACAAATGAACCTAAGACCCAAGCTGAGCCCATGAAAACCAATCCTGGGACTTTTGCAGAAGTTCTCGGAAAGAGGCATTCTCCTTTCTCCCTCACCCCCGGGGTGGTGGGAGGTACCTATGGGTGCTCGTTTTGTGCCCAAGAGAGGAAAGCCTGCCTGAGCAAAGCTAATCCAGAATCAGGAATAAAAAAACACAATTACAATGTCTGCTAAGCACCTGGATCCAGCTGTGCCTGAAGCTCATTAGTTGTGAACACAAATATCCTTTTGACTTGTTCAAGTTTGATTTGTGAGAGAAAATAAGCCAATAGTGAAAGATAAGAGAAGGACACGGAACGCCCCCCTCAGCTGTGACTGTGGGCTGGTCCTGGTGTGTGCGTGTGGCGTGGGTTCTCCAGGGGAGTCTGACTCTTACCAGGGCAGTAGCGCCCACGAGCGACTCCTTGGCCAGGGCGTGGCGCAGGGCCGAGAAGAGGCCTGGGGTGTCCTGCCTCAGGTAGAGCACCTCGCCCACGCCGCCTGTGAAGTCCACGAAAGCCTCGTTCATGTGGCCGCCCCGCATCACTTCATAGGAGCCATGGAGCCTGTGGGAGCAAGTCTCGGGTAGGGATGTCTGAGGCATGTCCGAGCATCTCAGGCAACCCCTGGACCTGGGGGCCTCTGTCCCAGAGTATTAGGTCCCAGGGGCTATCCCTGAAGTTTGCAGACTCTCGAAGTGGAAGACTGTGACACACTGTGGAAGCCTCTGGTCCCTGGGCCACTAAGACTGCATGATTTGGGGGTCAAAGGTGAGCCCTGTCAGAACTCTGGGCATCCCGGGGGCTGTGTCTGAAGCTTTAAGTCTCTGAGAGCTAGATGTCTGCTTTGAGGGTAATCCCATGGGGCTTGTTAAGGATTTTAGATCCAAAGGATGAGGAAAAGCAAATATTTGAGGGTCCCAGGTCTTACCCTCAATATTTTGGGGGTGCTTTGGGTTTCTGATGGATCAGAAGAGATTGTCTGAGATTACAGTTCCACTAAGGGAATAAATCTTAGACTTAGTGAATCCAGGGCCTGATGAGAGAGCTCAAGCTCAAGAATTCTAGGAATATTTGTGTGCGTGCAATAGAGGGGTGTTTACGGTTTGGAGTTCCTCAGTGGATGATGTGATATTAGGGTCCCAGGGGCTATGACTTGGTTTGGGAATCCTTAGCGGGATGCCTAGAGGATCCCAGAAGTTGGGGGGGCTCCAGGGGTCCCATGTGGCTAGGGCCTTTTGTCTGAGACTTGGGGGGCTGGGTAGGGGTCCTTACTTGGCGTAGGCCTTTTCCAAGAGGGAGGCCCAGAACTCGTTGCGCTGTTCCGAGCGCACGAACATCAGCTTCCCCTCACGCACGGGCAGCCTGTCGTCCACCACGATGTCCACCCAGCTGCCGAACTGCCAGAGCTGGCGGGGGGAGGGGCAGGGCCCGGGCTCGGCTCCCAAGCTCCAACCCCGCCTGCGCCCCAGCCTCTGATCCCCCACCCTTCCATACCGTCCAAGAACTCCAGCCCCAAGGGAACAATGTCAACAATGAAATCCATGTCACCTGGGGGGAAACCAAGGCATGAACAGAGGAAACGAGCTTTACCTGGAAGTGGAAGACACCTGCATAGCCGTCTCGGAAACCCTGTCCGGGGGGGACCACCCGCCACAGGAGTCGGGGGTACAGAGTGAGGGAGGCAGCGGCCGCAAGAAACCAACAGTTACCTAGGAAGAAAAAGGAAGACTGCCTCACAGGGGCAGGAGGCGTGGGGCGGGGACAGCAAGGCGTCCGGAAGCAGTAGGCTGAGGGCAGAGGTCAGGGTCCCAGCTGTGACTTGCTGGATCTGGGGGCTCCAGATGGATTCAGTGGTCTCACCCAGGCTCCCCTGGCACACGTCGGTCCGGCTCATGTCCTCACAGATGAACTGGGGCTCAGCACAGAACTCCTGGGGTGATGGGTATTCCAGGCCTCAGCCAGGAAAGGGAGGGAGGGAGCAACCGGGCGGTCAGACACCTGGATCCCCTCCTGCCCTCTCCTCCATAGTAATGAGCACCCCCAACCCCATGAGAGGTTGTCTTTCCTGGACCTCCCCAGACCCAAAATGGCTGAGTCTGCTCTGAGCTGATCCCACAGTGGCCCCCTCCTCCCTCAGACCCAGAGCCCAGCCCCCCAGCCACACTTTACATGGGGCCTCATCCATTTCACCCCTTTGGCCTTCTCCGAGTCTGGCCCCAGCTGGTCATAGCCAAGGGCATCGGCGCCAGCAGGAAAGTAAGGATCTCGGAACAGGATCCCCTCATCCAGGCAGGCTGCTCGGATTGCCTCGTAGTTCTGGCCTCGAAAGGGCTTCGGGCCCCCAGCTCCAGGTCCTGCCTCCTCATCTACCAGCTGGATGGTGAGCTTCCCGCTGCCACACGCCATCTGGAAACTGGACTCACAGGCTGGCCCCAGACCCTTTAACCTCCTGAGTCACGAGGGCGGGGACTTCCCTCCATCTGAGCTTCAGTGGGGGTCTTTAGGCAGCGAATAGCCTTCCCTCGTTAATACTAATTGATGGTTTGGGGTGGAGGGGAGCAGGGACGCCTCTTCAGCGGTTTCCTCCCCAGGGCGTGGGACCTTCAGTTGTGGCCAGAGTAGCAGCTTAATGGGCTTGGCCAGCAGCAGGAGGGAAGGTGGCAGAGCTGAGGGAGGACTGGCTGCCACTGTGGGAGTGCCCAGAAGGAGGTCATGTGGGAGGGGTGCGTTTCTGTCAACTTGTCCCTGCGTGTCTCCCTGTTTGTCTGGGAGGGCGGCGTGTCTACGCTGTGTCTACATCTCCCTCGCTCCATCTGACCATCTCTCTCTGCCTGCGTCATATCTCTTTTCTGCATCTTGGCCTCACTGTCTCTCTCAATCCATTTCTCTCATCTCCTTTTGTCTTTCTCTGTGTTTTGTTTGTTTTTCTCTGTCTGTGCCTGTCTGTCTGTACCTCCCTCGTCTCCATCCCTCTCTCTTTGTCTCTATGTCTCTGTTTCTCTCCGTACCTGTCTTGTGCATGCCTCACTGTCTGTCTCTCTCCATCTTCCTCTTTGTCCTTGTAACTCCTCAGTCACCCACGGCAGGACCCTGAGGTGTCAAGACCCTCATCTCCTGCCTCCCTGACAAGGCAGAGCTCAGCCTGATTGCCCCAGGCCAGGCTGACCATGGAAGGGCTGCTCTGCGCCACCTGCCCCAGGCTGGGAGCCGGGCTCCCCGGTGGCCGTGACACCCTGCCCTGCCTGCACCAGGCTCAGGGTCCAGTGGAGCAGTATTTCCCCCAAAGGATGCCGAAGCCATTGGAGAAGATGGGAGAAATAGGTTTCAAGAGGCCAGATTTCACCAGCGTTTGTCCCAGCAGACCTTCCATCCTCAGTGAGGGTCTCCTGCCCTAGAAGAACTGTGTCGCCTCTGCGGCACCCAGAGGTCCCTCAGCCCTCTGGCATCCTTCCCTCCAAATGGAGCAACAGATGGTATCTGAGCCTCCCAAAAGGGCCACCGAAAGGGCTATAAAACAGGTTTTCTTTTTGCAGAATTACCACGACCCCCTCCCCCATTGTGAGGCAGGTGACAGTGATTAGGAGCACGTGCCAGGGGTGGGACCCAGAGGGCCTGGGTTCAAATCCTAGCTCTACCACTGAGAACCTGTGTCTTGGGCAGTCACTTAGCCTCTCTGTGCTTCATCTCTACAGTGGGGGGACTGATAGGACCTACTTGTTGTGAGAAGCAAATGGGTTAATATGTGGGACACGTTCAGAGCAGTGCCTGACACAAAATAGGTGCTTAATAAACATTAGATGTTATGACTACACCCTAAGGTCCCATCCATGGTCACCTGTCACCTCTGCCCGCTGTTTCTGCCACTTCCACGGTCACCTCCGCTGTCCTGCTATCTGTTCTCCACGTTCCCACCCCGTGAGGTCACAGCCCTGTGCCCTTTATTTGCCCCGAAGTACCACTAACAGTAGGAGGAAGCTTTTAGTAAAACCTAACTGACATCTTGCAGTGACCAGGAAACGACTACTTGTGAAAACTGCCTGTCAGGTCATCTGACGGTTTGTCCGCTGCTTCCTGCCCTGTTCTGGTCCCAGTCCACAGGCCCCTCCTGGCCTCTACTCCTACGACGTTCCTGCTGCCCACCAAGTCACAGGGCTCTGGGCACATGCCACAAACAAGCGTTCTCTCGATCATTACATCCAGAGTACCAAATATGCCTTCCCTGGCCAAGGTAAGAAAATACATCGATGCCATCATAGTGGATGTCTGCTGCTTTGCGAGCCCAGCGTCCCTTATCATTTTATGGAATCAGCATCCTCATTACGTTTTAAAGATCCACCTTATTCTCAAGCCATGCGGCTCTGATAGGGCTGGCCCCGCCCACTAGCTCCAGGGAAGGGCGTTTGACCAAGACCAGCCAATCGGAGCAGCGCAGGCCCTGGCCGCACCCCTTCCATGCCTCTTGGCCACACCCCTCGTTTGCGGGCAGACTCAGGGCTGAGCCGCTTTTTCCCTGAAGCCACTAAGCTGGTGGGATGTAAACCCGATGTGTCAGGGTTCAACTTCGCCACGTTGTCAGGAGACCCTGTCTGAAAATGACAAGGCGGAGCGAAGCAGAGCCAGGCGATGGGGAGAGAGATGAGACCCCCAGGAGCACAGAGCCCATCAATCCAGTTGTGCTTGAAATTAGACTTTTACATTAAAGGAGCCACTAAATTCTGCTCTTCTCTTTTTCCCAGTTTTTATCATTTTATTTTATTTCGTTTCGTTTTGTTTTACTTTATTTTGCCACTAACAGCCACAAGAAACCTTCCCAATTCATTGGCATGAGTTCTGAGACAATGCACCAGCCTGAAGGTCCCCATATGCAACCAGAGATCCGACTCGGCCACGGAGTAAGCGATCTGGTGCCAGTTTACTCCATTTCCACCCATCTCCTTACCTAACGGCAAAGTGCAGATGTTCCTGCTTCACCAAGTTAAGGCCACACTCGGGCCATTAAAAAAAAAAAAAAAAGATTCTGCCTAAAACACTATCACGAAAACAAAAGGCCCCCCTCTAACCCAGGAGAGAGCAGGCAGATGCTCCCTATTTTCCAAACCCCTGCTCTGACTGCAGCAGGCACTGTTCTAAGCACTTCAAAAATCTGATCTTCTTTATCCCTCACAGGACCCTTGAGAGGCATCCAGTCAGCTCTAGCTACTACAGCGAATACCAGAGACTCGGGGCTCAGACGACAGACACTTTTCTATAACTCGGTTATGGAGTCGGGGAGTCCCAGATCAGGGTGCCGGCGCGGTCGGGTTCTGGTGAGAGCTCTCTTCCAGGCTTGCAGACTGCAGCCTTCGTGCTGCATCTTCCCATGGTGGTGACAGAGCTATGCTCTTTCTCTCCTTATCAGGACACTCATCCCGTGACGAGGGACCCACCCTCATCACCTCATCTAAACCTAATTACTCCCCCAAAGCCTCCCCTCCATCACATTGAGGATTAGGGCTTATAAATTTGGTGAGGATGGGGTGGAGACACAATCAGTCCATAATAAGCAGTAAGCCCTAGAGTGAGCCCTGTTTTACAGATAAGGAAACTGAGGTGCAGAGAAGTGTGGTGCTTTGTCCATGCTCTCGCACTTGCAGAATTAAGATTTGAATCCAAGTCTTCAGCCACGCCACCCTGAACGTGCCTGATCCCATCTGATCTTGGAAGCTAAGCAGGGTTGGGCCTGGTTAGTACTTGGATGGGAGACCACCTAGGAAGACCAGGCGCTGTAGGCAAAAAAAAAAAAAGGTTTGAATTCGGTGATCTGGCTCACTGATTATACTATATTGTCTCTCAAAGGCTAGTATTCAGAATATATAAAGAGCTCCTACAAACAAACAACAGCTAACTCAATAGACAATGGGCAAAAGACATGAATGAATAAGCAATTGTAGAATCAGTGGCCAATAAGCATATGAAATGCTAATTAAGACCATTTAAAATACGATTATACTCACTAGGTTAGGAAGAAAGTTAAGAAGTCCGAGAATGCCAAACATTGGCAGGAACGTGGAACAACAGCGCTGACAGAGAGGTGTAACTTGGTACAAACGCCTTGAAAGACAACTTGACATTACTCAGTCAGTGCCTCCCTAACCCGCGACCCAGCTATTCCGCTCCCAGGTAAATGCATGCTAGAGAAATGCATGCACATGTGTCCCAGGAGACACATGCAAAAACATTCATAGCAGCACAGTTTGTAACAGCCAAAACCTGAAAACAATGAAAATATCCATTGTCAGCTAAATGAGAAAATTGCGTTATTCATACAAGGAAAGATGACACAGAACTCAAAATGGGAGGGAACGCAGCTGCGACCTGGGAGACTCTCAGAAACATAATGCTGAGTGAAAAAACAAGCCTCAGAAGACTATCCATGATACTTTTTTAAAAAGTATTTATCGTTGCAGATTTAAAACATAAACGAAAGGAGACAGAATGTTGTAATGAACACAGACACCCCCATCACCCAGTTTCAGCAATTAACTCAGGCAAATCCTACCCCACCCTCTTATACCATTTTGCAGCAAATCCCAGACATCATTTAATTTCCTCAGTAAACATTGCAATATATTTCTCTAAAAATATAAAAATTCTTAAAAAAAAAATCCAAGAAAATTATCCATATACAATAATTCTTCAAAATCATCAAATATTCACTTGGTATCCACATTATGAATGATGTTATAAAACTGTTAGCAATTTATTTGAGTTAGAGTAAAAAAAAGATGGATTCACAGCAATTGATTGACATGTCTCTTAAAATTCTTTTAATCTATAGGGTTTTTTTTTTTTTTTTTCTTTCAGCTCTTTTCTTTTCCTTATAATTTTTTGTCGAAGACCCAGATCATTTGTCCTGGAGAGTTTCCCACACTCTGGATCTGGGTGATGCACCCCTTAGTAGCATTTAGCATGTGCATCTGTCTCCTGTCATCCTTGTAAATTGGGTATCGGGTCCAGAAGCTTCCTCTTGCAGGCTCAGTTATTTGGAAAGATGACTTCCTAGAAGGTGCTTGGCTTTTCCGTCTGGTCGTCTCCACATCTGTGATGTTAGCAGTAGGTGCTCACTGCCTATACCCATTGACAGAAGATGGGGATGGAAAAAGGTGATGTTCTAATTCCAGTGTTTCGTCTTCATGTCGTAGCTGGAATGTAAAGGGACACTTCCTCTCATCTGCTGTTTAGTTGCTCTGAAGTATAGTTCATAAAAGAAAGACAGGATCCTTCATTGACCTTTTCCCCTTATTTACCACTTTGCAGAGCAAATCTTGTTTATTCAGTATCTGTGTATGTGTCAGAATTCTTTTTGAGCTCTTTCATTGCAATTAATTACCTGGTAGTGAGGTTGTGTGGGGGGGAAACCTACCTTC